TTAATATTCACTATTCGCTATGTGTTCTGACTTTATTCATTTTTTTTTCTTCAACAATCCAACACAGCCAAGACAACGATGAGCGGCATAGTGTTTGAGGTAAACAATGGATTGGCATCGGAAAACTGCCAGAAGCTGTATCTGGATCCAATGACCGCTGATGTGCATTTCGTGTTCAGCATGAGCGCAAAAAATATTTCATCACACAAGATTATCCTATCTGTTGGTAGTCCTGTGTTCCATGCCATGTTCTATGGTTCGTTACCTGAGAAAGGAGACGTTGTCATTAAGGATGCATCTCCCGGTGCGTTTAAAGAGTTTTTGCAATTTTTCTACTTGAGCAAAGTGCAACTATCATCGGAACACATCTTTCAAGTGGCCAATTTGTGCAAGAAATATGCGGTAAACGAGGGATTAAAGCTGTGCGAAGCTCCGATAATGCAGTCACTGACAATCAACAACATGTGTACGGGTTATGCAGCGGCATTACTACTTAATATGAAAATCGTCATCGAATTCTGTGAACGAAAAATCAAGCAAGAGGCAACGAAAATTCTGAAATCGGCTGATTTCTTGGATTGTGACCACATGCTACTGGACAAAATACTACAGTTGGTATCATCGAAATGCAGCGCATTGGATATTGTTGGTACATTGATGGCTTGGGCCAAGGCCGAATGCATACGGGAAAAAATGCCTGGAATTCCGGCAAACCTTCGGGAACAACTCAACCATTCATACCATCGAATTCCATTCCATGAATTGTCCCACGAACAATTCGCACGGCACATCGTTATGTATCCCGGGTTTTTTACAAACACAGATTTGGAAACGATCGTTTTGAAGATCTTGTCAAAGAAGGCACATATGAGTGCGTTGACATACCCAGAGCCACTAGTACGAAGACTGGATTGTGATCGACAGGTTGATAATAGCTCCGTGGACTTTTATATTCATCTTTCGATGCCAAACTCGAGCTTTTTCATTGCAAACAAAGACCTTTTTCTAACCGAGTTGTATTTAGCGAAATCATCATTACCTAATGATTTGGTCGGTCAGGTGACCATTTTTCCACGGAGTCAGCCAATTTCGACTGAACATGAATTTGTACTATCTTCCGGTAAAGAGACTCATCTCATTCTTCCAACGCCAGTAAAAATTGATGCAAATACTGAGTATGGTATCCGGCTCAATGCTCCGATGGGAAGTATCGGTTTCAAGAGAAGGCCACTCAATCAATGCGTCAAATTAAGGGATGACATCAACATTCGCTTTATCAATGACCAAGGCATGGTGACACGGCTTGTATTCCAACAGCCAATTGGGTAGTTTTGGATAAACTTTGTCATAGCGACTCGACCAGCCTCTTCTTGGCCTATTACAGTGACAACATCTAAAAAAAAACAACATTTAGATTTCATACACTGGAGTTGATTCAACGATTTCAATTGCTCTAAGTGAACATTTTAAATATGTCAAACAGTTTCATCCTTTGTCACAGAGTCTTTGAATAAATCATAGAAAAAATTTAATTGTTGATTTTTACTTCATATTTCAAGAATCATTTCGACATAACAATTCCATATGCACGCGTGACACGGTGAATTCAATGTACGACATCTGTCAAATTTTGGTGGGGAGATACACAGAAGTGATTGTCATTTGTATAGCTAACATTGAACTAGTTATTCATTTTGAAGCGTAACCAAATTCAGACCATACAATTTCCTTACTACGTCTATCTGATCTAAATTATCCCTTGAAACCATTCTAATCCATCATCTGAAGAAAAGATTCGCTGAAATGTAAGTGTTCTCAATGATTTTTAATCAAAATTTGGACCATTCATTTGGAAAAAGAACTCTTTCTGTCCTACTAAACATTTTCTGTAATAAATATTTCCCTTTTTCTCTTCAAAAGTCACCAATAGATCGATTACAATGGCTGTCCAAGTGTTTACGCGTGAAAATAAACTGAAACAACTCAGATATGAGCAGTTGTATCTGAAAACCAAAACGTCTGATCTGAACTTTGTTTGCGGTGGCGATCGATCGACAAATATCCCCGGTCATAAATTTTTACTCTCAGTTGCGAGTCCAGTATTTGAGGCTATGTTCTACGGTTCCACTAAACCATCGAACGACATCCCGATTGATGGCATATCTACCGAGGCTTTTAAAGAATTCCTGCAATTGTTTTACCTCAACAAAGTGCAGCTAACATCGCTGAATATCATCGAAGTGGTGCAATTATGCAAGAAATACGAAGTGGCTGATGGTTTAAGCGTTTGTGAGTCTCCATTGGTAGCATATTTAATTACGAATCTCGATGACATGTGCTTAAACTATGGTAAGGCTCTTAATCTGAACGTACCGAGTGCGATTCGCAATTGTGGCCTGAAAATCGGTGAAAATGCATTCGAAGTGTTGAAGTCAAGCAGTTTCTTGAAATGCGATCGAAAGCTGTTGGACAAAATTTTGGAAATAGTGGCATCAAAATGTAGCCCATCTGTGATTGTCGAGTCATGTATGGCTTGGGCAAAAGCTGAATGTGTACGGCAACAATTAGACATTACAACGGTCAATTTAAAAGCTCAACTCAAGAATTCATTGAATCGAATTCCATTTGATAAACTCAGCACCGAACAGTTTTCACAGCACATCAACACGTACAAGCGCTTTTTCGTCGAAGACGAACTGGAATCATTGGTTTTGACTGCAATGTCAAAGAAGGCAAAGTTGTGCGATCTAGTGAACAAACTTGATCCATCAATGCATTTGGAAGTTAAAATGCATTTGGTGGATTGTGATCGTCGATTGAAGACCAGCGCAAACGGTTCATATCAAAAACTCATTATGCCACATTCAATCACCTTCATGTCTAGTGCTCTAGGAGTTCTACATCGCAAAATTGGTACGTGGCGCTGCTTCGCAAACTGTTACGTATAGCAGTATTAAAGCCCCAGATGGAAAGATATCAACAACAGTCACATGCCATCCAAATTTTGTTACTTGCCGCGCAGAAGTTATCGAAGGTGGATCCTCATTGGCATCACATGAAGTAAAGCTCAATTCTGACCATGAAGCCCATGTCGTTCTCTCAGATCCAATCACCATCAATCCAAATGTCACATACAGAATAAATCTGACAACAAACCAACCCCATAATACCCATTGGCATATGACACCTCTTTCAACATCGTTTTACTTGAATCAGCACGGCACTGGTGATGGCATCCGAATCCATTTTCCAGCGGAACGAATAAGCATCTATTCGAACGACATGATTACACGCCTCATTTTCCAATCAGCTCAAATGGGAACTCAAAAAAAGCGCTGATTGTTAAGAACATATAACAAAATTAAAGTTTATCCAAAGCTTTGTCAATCTACTGTTTATTCAAATAAATCACATAAATTTTTAATAAAAATAAAAATAGAGCAATAAACAACAGCTCATAAAGTTTCTCTATAAAGGATAATGTGAAATAATAATTAATTTCGTTATTAATAACATATTGTAATGTAAAAATAATGCTACGTGAATTCAAATCATTTATCGTTTGAAAATGTGATTCCTAAGCGATCTCTTTGTGAATGTATTCATTCGAAGTGCGTTTTGGAGTACGTTCAATGTAAATGCTCCTTTATAATTGCACGTGTTTCACACCAGAGCACAAGCTATGTGAAGAAAACACACCACTTGAAATGTCAAAGTATTGCGCAACAAAAGTCTAGTTCACATCATAAAACTTTAAAATTAGATTTTCGTCGATAGTTTTGATTCTTATTCGAGTTTTCATACTAAAAATCAACGTAATTGATTACACATTACTTGAATCATATTTAGAGCAACGAAAGTTCTGAAAAGTGAGTATAATTCTATACCTATTGTGCGGACACTCCTTCTGAATGAGGTTCAAATTTGATTTTCACACAATTATTTCAAACGTATGTTTCTATATTTTGTTTCCAGGTGCTGAAAACGTTAAGCAACGATGACCGACAGCGTGTTTGAAGGAAAAAACCAATTACCTCGCAGCAATTCCGAAAAGTTCTACCTCGATTCGAATTTGGCTGATGTAAAATTTGTGTTCAACGCTGGAACTGATCATGTTGAATATATCCAAGCACATAAAATGATCCTGTCTATTGGCAGTTCGGTGTTCGCTAACATGTTTTATGGTTCATCGACCAAACAAGATGATGTTCCAATTGACGACGTGTCTGCTGTGGCATTCAAGGAATTTTTGCAATTTTTCTATTTAACCACACTTCGACTTACGTCCAAACACATCGCCGACGTTATCAATTTGTGCAAAAAGTATAAGCTAGTAGGGGTGCTGGCAATCTGTGAGGCTGCATTGCGAAAGTCACTCACCATCGACAACATGTTCTCTGTCTATGCTATAGCCATTCATTACGAGCTTACGAACACGATCTTCTTTTGCGAGATGCAAATGGTACAAAATGCGGAAGCAATTTTGGAATCAACGAATTTTTTAACATGCAAACGCGATCTGATTGATCATGTAACTCAGTTGGTGACACCGGAACTGGAAATGAAACTGAAAGTCGGCAGTGCATGGGTGATTGTTAATGCATACATGGCATGGGCAAAAGCCGAATGTGGACGAAACAATCTGGAAAAAACCACAGCAAATCTCAGGGCACAGCTGGGACAATCATTTGCTAATATTCCATTTGTTGAATTGAGTTCCATGCGTTTCGAACAGTTTTTGACTAACTACAATGGTTTTTTAAGCGAATCAGATGTGCGACGATTACGACAACAACGACGACTACGACAACAACGGAAACGAGAACGATTTTGAATTGGATTTTATGGATTTTGATGGTAAATTTGATAAGCCGGATTATGACATAAATTAACCATTCCAGTAACAATGATTGAAAAAAAAATACTCGCAAGGAATAGGTTCTACTCATAAATGTAAACACACACACTTTTCTACTCAATTGAAATAAGTCCAAAGTATCATAGAATTAGTTGATTACAATCACTTCAATTAAAGATTCAAAATATGTCAAAGAAGATCATTCATCAAATACATTCCACATTTCTCTGATTGCATGTTTTTATTTATTTTATCTGAGATTGATCGATTTTCTTTTGTCCAATTAATTGAAGAAAATTTTCAGTTACGTTTGTTTGATCAAAATTATCACTTTGAATCATCCCAAGCCATTATCCAAATAAAAGAATTCGTTAAAATATACAATGTATGTATTTTCAATGACTTTTATTGAAAAGAGAAGGAAATTAAATCGAGAATTGTGTGCTAACACTAGCCGACAGTATTTTAGGTCCAGAGATGTGGCTAGTATATTTTGAAAGGGCTCGGCCGCGCGAGTTAAAAACACGGTACGGTTACTTTGGAAGTGTTCGTATTCTTTGGAAATTAATCTATATGCAAAATTACTGGTTTTAGCCATGGATTTTTCAACATTAAAGACTGTAAAATTTACAGTAGACAGCATAGGACCAAAAGTACGATGGTTCTTGAAACAAGAGAGCCATAGCTTTCAAACGCGCCATAGAACATTGAAATCGATTCAGTGGTTTAAAAGTTATGGACCTGAAAAGTGTGGAAACATTATTGAAAAATCTCAATTTTAGCTACATTTTTCATGTTTGCTTCAAGAGATCTTTGTGAATTCATAATTATCTGGCAGATTTTATATTTGTATCGTAAAATTGTATCAATTCTGAACAATTTAGACCTAGATCTGATTGCTGTCCGACCACTAACAGAGAAGTAACAGTTGTACTTAAGCGCTGGCGAACGTTAAAAAT